GGCGGAGCCAACAGCCTCGTGAGCGAGGAGCGGAAATTCTCACCGCTCCGCTCCGCTCACATGCTCTGCTAACCACACCCCTGCCCCTGCTGGTCAATATAAAAAAAGGTACCTCCTTCGTAGTAGTGCTGCGATGACTCCTCAAATGACCTTTCATAGCCTTGCTCGCTGTAAGAAGACTGCTGGTACGAGTAATCCCCATGACCTGGGGGGGCACAAAACATCATCGGGATGACCAGCGAGCCCCGCGCAGCTGCAGAAAAAAACATCATCACGACCGAGACAGATCGCATCACTGCTTAGAAAGAAAATAAATACATGTCACTATACAGACGCTCTTCGCTTCACAATGCACATTCAGTACTCAACTTGGAATTTTGATCGATTCCTATGATAGCAATATGTGACAGGATACTTCCTACTGATACCGGGCAATGGCAGCATCCACGCAGTCATGCTTCCAGTCTCTGTAGTGATTGCTAGTGTAAGCAGCTCATACACTGTTTACCAATGTATTGTACATGTTTTTTAGTCTGTATTTAAACTTGTAGGCTATTCATTAATTTCAATTACGACTATTTACTTACAGTATTTATGTACTTACTCACTGACAGTAGTTATTTATTTACATCTATATCATACCAAGTTCATATTTGACTTACGATATTTTCCACTTACGGTTTGTTCATCGGAACATAATCCCCCTGTAAATTAAGGAGCACCTGTATAATTTTACAGATTAACCAGAGACAAAGCTAGATGGAAAATCCGGTGCTGGAGATAAATGAGTGTAAGGTGTGCTGAATACTAGTGATGCACCGATAAGGAAATTTCTAGCAGATACCGATAGCTGGTTATTTTGAAAACTGACACCGATACAGATTGTTTGGGAGATTCCGCCTAAACAGGTTTAAAGTTACACTCCACCCAAATAAATTCAAAAAGTATTTATTTTTGGGTAAGAAAACACCAACACTGACATGCAACAGTCCCAGAGCACTATATTTTATTGTCACGGTGCGTTGCGGGCGAGCCGTGGAAACAGGTGAGAGCAGCCAGGAAGTCAGGCAAACTTGGTTTTATTAACCAAAAGACGGACATCCACGGACAATACAGACAATACAATGACGGATCTGGGGAAGACTGACTCAGACGAGGACTAAATACAGAAGACAAGCCAAAATAACAAGGAACAGCTGGGCACGATCGGGAAAGCACACGTGGATAATGAGGGGGCGTGGCACACATCAGGAGCGGACGGAGCGGATCATGACATTTTATAACTGTATACATCTTATATATTTATAACACCAAGTCTGATAAACTCTGTAATTTTCAAAGAAATATCTTTTGATTTCGCACTGCCTGCACTGAATTTTCTTTTGCTATCAAATGCTTGCATTATTGATGGAATGGCGTTATTTGGCAGTACTGCAGCCTTCTGTATTGGAACGGATTTGTTTTTCAGAAACTCTTCATACTCTTTATCGTCACGCCTTACGGTGAGCAATCAAATTCGATATGCTGAAATGTTTATTATTAGATCCTTCTCGTGAGCGATGCTTACAAAATGCACTTTTAATGACGTTTTTGCTAACTTTAAAGTAATTCCTCACAGCAGACATTTCTCTGACTATTTAGTACGTGGGTGAGCAAAGCAATATGGTCGCCAATTTAAATGGAATTATCAGCAGTAAATATTGGCTCAGTTTTAACCGATGGCCAATCGTTGCTGTATCGGCTGATACAATAGGTGCATCTCTACTGAATACAGGCATGATGATTACCATCAGGGTAGTACTGCTGGTTAATGGGTTCAGTGGCACTCTGACCATGGATGAACTGTTTTGCTCCCCGTAAAACTCATCCTGTCCCACGTACTGGGCTGGAGCTCCTGAAAGACACACAGTGGCAGGACTAGTTTCTAAGCTAAAGTGCTGGCTGCTTCAGCGTTCCTCTGTGGAAAGCAGTGACTAATTCACTTCTTTGAGAACTAAAATGTAATTCGTTGGATTTTCTTATCCGAAGATGTTATTATTACATTGATCACTACAGGTGGCATTTAAATGTGCATGGTACTAATTACCCTGGGGCTCACCAGTAAGTCCCATATCCTCATTTTAGGTTGATAGAAGTTCATTTGTTTCCTGAAATATCATACCTTCATACCGGATAATTGAGTTTTAAATGGGGCACCAGAATATCAAAGTATCCATTTACATATGCAACATAAATGTATACACATTGAATCTGATAAATAATTTACGTATGTGGACTAGTTGGTTAGGGTGCTGTGTCTGTGTTCTGAAGGCTGCTGTTTGAAATCCTGTAGTCAGCAGGGTGATTTCGCTGTTGGGTCCCTGAGTACGACCTTTAACCCCAGGTGCTCCACGGGCACGGCTGGCCCTGCTTTCTCAAATGTACGTCACTTTGGACGAAAGCATCTGCTTAAGTAAATGTAAATAATAGTGTTTATAAACATTATAAACACCAAGATAAACACTCTTTCACCAAGTAACCCAGTGAAACAGTAAATCGTGCAATTCCCTTTCTCAAAATATTGTTCTCTTTGATGTGCACCATCCTTTTTCTTAATATTGTGTATTTTAACTGTGTATTACCCTAAAGCTGCGATGGGCTGGCCCCCTGTCCAGGGTTGTTCCCTGCCTCGTGCCCATTGCTTCTGGGATAGGCTCCGGACCCCCCGCGACCCAGTACGATAAGCGGGTTGGATAATGGATGGATGGATGGATTACCCTAAAGGTGAAGTGCAATGTGCAAAAATAAGTATAATTAAATTAGTTAAAGAAAGTTTTTGTTAATGTGTCCCAGGTTATAAAAAGATCAAAACGATGAGTCACAGCCAAACGTTTCTATGGTGGACCTTCCCCAATGGGTCTGCAGCTTGGCAGTGCCCTTTGTGAATTACGCACATCTAAAAAGAACTGTACCGGTAATTAAGCCTGGCTAATTGCGTTAAGGTTAGACATGTTAAGTCCTAACGAGATATGGGGAGTGAATGCCTCCCCACAGACGGCACTGCACTTTGATGACTGTCAGCTGTCAGCTCTCCGCCACGCGTGACCTGCTCTCTATCCTCACAGACACAGCACGCACAAGAGACCTTCGCGGGCTATTTTTAACTAAGACCTGACAAAGTGTTGGACTGTGATTTACACAGACGAAGACCAGAAATGACAGCGGCAATTAATCTTAACTTGCTTCTTAAAGCTACAGGAGAGAGATGGAGAATACCGCTTCTTTCAAAAAGATTTATGACCCAAAGGTCATAAAGGTCACGGGTCAAAAGTTCACTGGATGGGCGGGTCTGGGGCGTGACGTCACCTGGCTGTGAGCCAGCAACGACTAGTGAGGTTGGGAGAGGTTTTTTTTTATTATTATTTATTTATTTATTTATTATTATTAATTAATTATTTATTTATTATAATTATAATTATTATTAATTATTTATTTAATTAT